TTATGGATTGGTGGGATTTGTATTGAAGTAATTGTGTGAGGGTGTGGTTTAAGAATTTAGCAAGTTTATATGTAGGGGATTCATATGAGGCTGTTATGGGGCGTATAGGATGATTCTGTTTGTGTAATTTTAAAATGCTGTAGAGGAAAGGTGTTTGAGGATTGCGATTTTTGATTATGAAGGGGTTACTGTTTAGTTTTTCTAGGGTAGTTTTAGATTCTAGTATTGTTTTATTGACTTTGTTTGAAAATTTATTTATCGGGTTTTTTGGTATTTCGGTTATATTATTTTCGTCGAAAAATTGTAGTGTTTTGTTGATGTAATCGATATCTACAATTACTAATTAATTATATTTCAGTGTTTTCGTTCACCTTTATGATTTCGGCTGATTGTGATCATCCAAGCTACATATTTCTAACATCTCCCACACTATGTTTCATTCACCTGCATCTTTTATTGTATCTTGTACTAATGACGGTAAACTATTTTATTTTATAAACAATAACCATAATTATAAGTATTACAGCTACGGCCTGAAGATGGTATTGCTTAACGTACCGAAATCGATAGCCTATACAGAAAAATTAAAAAAAAAAAAAAAAAACCTATTAGCTCGACTGCACTTCCTGTGTGATTTTTAACCTCATATGAATAAAGCTAATAAAAATGGAGAATTTCATCGATAAAATAAACAATCAGGATTTTCCGCAGATTCTCCGACAACTACAGTACCTCATCAACAAGAGACATAAAAACAACCAACACATTCACTTCCTGATTACAGCAAAACGACTAAAAATTACACCAAAATTTCTACAAATAAAACTACCTAAAAATAAATACTCCATTACCGAAACGTCAAATATTCATCAAACGTTACTACGAAAAGAAATAAAACAACAACACAAAAACAGAACCCTAATCCACACGAAGCTAAAATATCTCCACCGAACTCTCACACAACGTTTACACCACATCGAATATGAAACGCTCATTCGAGACCTAGAAGAAGAAGTAAAAAACGACAACTATGAACTAGACAGAAAAAGAAATAAAAAACTTCAAACCCTTATCTACAACCACCAGCATAACAACCACGGACTACCCGAAAACCAACGCTACAACCAAACAAAAAGAAGAATCATTATACCTACAAACAAAAATCAACCTACCACCTACGACAATAAACACCAATTCCCTCAACGTTTTACCAACCTCTCCAACATCACACTCAACGAAGAAGAAACAAAACTTCTCATTATAGGCCATAAATTTGCACCGACACCAAGCTCATTTTCACACATTCAACTTGCCATCGAACTCGAAAGTCAACTACTTAAACAACCACAATTATATCAAAACATAAAGGAAGACCTCATTAAAACGATCAACAAACAGGTTAGTAATTGTAGATACACTAATCACAACAATATTATGCTACCTAAACATAAAATACATAACACAATAAAACTATTAAAACAAAAAATTGACACACAAGACTTAATCGTTACTTCAGCTGACAAAAATGCCGGCCTAGTAATTCTCAATAAAATCGATTACATCAACAAAACACTACAATTTTTCGACGAAAATAATATAACCGAAATACCAAAAAACCCGATAAATAAATTTTCAAACAAAGTCAATAAAACAATACTAGAATCTAAAACTACCCTAGAAAAACTAAACAGTAACCCCTTCATAATCAAAAATCGCAATCCTCAAACACCTTTCCTCTACAGCATTTTAAAATTACACAAACAGAATCATCCTATACGCCCCATAACAGCCTCATATGAATCCCCTACATATAAACTTGCTAAATTCTTAAACCACACCCTCACACAATTACTTCAATACAAATCCCACCAATCCATAAAAAACTCTACACAACTTATTCACAACATTAACAAGATTACCCCCCTACAACCTAACTCCATCATGATCTCGTTTGATATCGTAAACCTATACACCAACATCCCAATACACAACACGCTTTCCATCCTCTCAGACATTCTATACAACCACGATTCATTCAGGAAAAACTTCAAACTGAATCCAATAGACATACAAAACCTCTTGAAACTTTTTGACCTCACAACGCAACAAAATTTCTTCACCTTCAACAGCAAATACTACCAAATGCAAGACGGCCTCCCTATGGGTTCACCCATCAGTGGAATTCTAGCCAATATTTTCATTGACCATCTTGAAAACAAAATTAAACTACTACCCGAATTTAACAACATAGCAATCTGGAACAGATATGTTGATGACATTTTTTGTATTTGGACCGGAACAATAACAGAATTACACCAATTTCACATTGACATTAACAACCTTTCCAAAATTAAATTTACAATAGAAATAGAGCAAAATAACAAACTAAACTTCCTCGATTTAACACTTCACAAAGACAACAACCACATACTTTATAACATCTATCGAAAACCAACCACCACAGACATAGTCATACCACATAATTCATACCACTCACCACAAATCAAAAGATCTGCATTTAACTTCCTATTCAATCGCCTAATATCCACACCACTTAATAAAATACACTATAACGAAGAATACAACACCATTTTACAAATTGCATTGAATAACAAATACAACCTTTCGTTTATACACAACATTTATCGTAAAATAAAACAACAACACATCATTAACACCATTTTTCCCCATCATAACGTTCAAAAAACATTTAAAGCCATTACTTATAACCACACAATACATAACAAAATCAACAAAATCTTTAACAAACATAACATTAACATTATCCCAAAATCTCAACCCACTATCAAAAAAATCCTTACAAACATAAAACCAAAAACTCCGGCACAACAAAAATCAGGCATATATCAAATATTCTGCAACCAATGTCCCGCCTCTTACATAGGACTAACAACACGAAATCTGGGTACCAGATTTAAAGAACACTCCAAAAACCAACCAAAATCAGCCATAGGTACCCACATAAAAGATTCACAACACTCCATTTCCATAGACAAGGCAAAAATATTACAAACTTCAAATAATTATAACCAATTAAAAATTTTAGAACATTTAGAGATCCACAAAGCCATCAAACAACCCAACCACAACCTCCTCAACGAAATCACTTTCTTTCCAGAACAACACCTATACAAACGCCTACACCCCTTCAATAACAAAGACACGCAACCACACATACACGCCCACTCCCCTACAGACCCCACATAAACAGCACGCCAATGCATAAATCTCTTCTACAACTTGACATAAAATATTTCAGTTCACATAACCTACAATTCGACACTTCAACCATACATGCTTACATCCACCTTTTAGACATCAACACAGGTAATTTACTCTCAAAATAGTAAACACGCACAACCTAATATCTACAATTACTAATTAATTATATTTCAGTGTTTTCGTTCACCTTTATGATTTCGGCTGATTGTGATCATCCAAGCTACATATTTCTAACATCTCCCACACTATGTTTCATTCACCTGCATCTTTTATTGTATCTTGTACTAATGACGGTAAACTATTTTATTTTATAAACAATAACCATAATTATAAGTATTACAGCTACGGCCTGAAGATGGTATTGCTTAACGTACCGAAATCGATAGCCTATACAGAAAAATTAAAAAAAAAAAAAAAAAACCTATTAGCTCGACTGCACTTCCTGTGTGATTTTTAACCTCATATGAATAAAGCTAATAAAAATGGAGAATTTCATCGATAAAATAAACAATCAGGATTTTCCGCAGATTCTCCGACAACTACAGTACCTCATCAACAAGAGACATAAAAACAACCAACACATTCACTTCCTGATTACAGCAAAACGACTAAAAATTACACCAAAATTTCTACAAATAAAACTACCTAAAAATAAATACTCCATTACCGAAACGTCAAATATTCATCAAACGTTACTACGAAAAGAAATAAAACAACAACACAAAAACAGAACCCTAATCCACACGAAGCTAAAATATCTCCACCGAACTCTCACACAACGTTTACACCACATCGAATATGAAACGCTCATTCGAGACCTAGAAGAAGAAGTAAAAAACGACAACTATGAACTAGACAGAAAAAGAAATAAAAAACTTCAAACCCTTATCTACAACCACCAGCATAACAACCACGGACTACCCGAAAACCAACGCTACAACCAAACAAAAAGAAGAATCATTATACCTACAAACAAAAATCAACCTACCACCTACGACAATAAACACCAATTCCCTCAACGTTTTACCAACCTCTCCAACATCACACTCAACGAAGAAGAAACAAAACTTCTCATTATAGGCCATAAATTTGCACCGACACCAAGCTCATTTTCACACATTCAACTTGCCATCGAACTCGAAAGTCAACTACTTAAACAACCACAATTATATCAAAACATAAAGGAAGACCTCATTAAAACGATCAACAAACAGGTTAGTAATTGTAGATACACTAATCACAACAATATTATGCTACCTAAACATAAAATACATAACACAATAAAACTATTAAAACAAAAAATTGACACACAAGACTTAATCGTTACTTCAGCTGACAAAAATGCCGGCCTAGTAATTCTCAATAAAATCGATTACATCAACAAAACACTACAATTTTTCGACGAAAATAATATAACCGAAATACCAAAAAACCCGATAAATAAATTTTCAAACAAAGTCAATAAAACAATACTAGAATCTAAAACTACCCTAGAAAAACTAAACAGTAACCCCTTCATAATCAAAAATCGCAATCCTCAAACACCTTTCCTCTACAGCATTTTAAAATTACACAAACAGAATCATCCTATACGCCCCATAACAGCCTCATATGAATCCCCTACATATAAACTTGCTAAATTCTTAAACCACACCCTCACACAATTACTTCAATACAAATCCCACCAATCCATAAAAAACTCTACACAACTTATTCACAACATTAACAAGATTACCCCCCTACAACCTAACTCCATCATGATCTCGTTTGATATCGTAAACCTATACACCAACATCCCAATACACAACACGCTTTCCATCCTCTCAGACATTCTATACAACCACGATTCATTCAGGAAAAACTTCAAACTGAATCCAATAGACATACAAAACCTCTTGAAACTTTTTGACCTCACAACGCAACAAAATTTCTTCACCTTCAACAGCAAATACTACCAAATGCAAGACGGCCTCCCTATGGGTTCACCCATCAGTGGAATTCTAGCCAATATTTTCATTGACCATCTTGAAAACAAAATTAAACTACTACCCGAATTTAACAACATAGCAATCTGGAACAGATATGTTGATGACATTTTTTGTATTTGGACCGGAACAATAACAGAATTACACCAATTTCACATTGACATTAACAACCTTTCCAAAATTAAATTTACAATAGAAATAGAGCAAAATAACAAACTAAACTTCCTCGATTTAACACTTCACAAAGACAACAACCACATACATTATAACATCTATCGAAAACCAACCACCACAGACATAGTCATACCACATAATTCATACCACTCACCACAAATCAAAAGATCTGCATTTAACTTCCTATTCAATCGCCTAATATCCACACCACTTAATAAAATACACTATAACGAAGAATACAACACCATTTTACAAATTGCATTGAATAACAAATACAACTTTTCGTTTATACACAACATTTATCGTAAAATAAAACAACAACACATCATTAACACCATTTTTCCCCATCATAACGTTCAAAAAACATTTAAAGCCATTACTTATAACCACACAATACATAACAAAATCAACAAAATCTTTAACAAACATAACATTAACATTATCCCAAAATCTCAACCCACTATCAAAAAAATCCTTACAAACATAAAACCAAAAACTCCGGCACAACAAAAATCAGGCATATATCAAATATTCTGCAACCAATGTCCCGCCTCTTACATAGGACTAACAACACGAAGTCTGGGTACCCGATTTAAAGAACACTCCAAAAACCAACCAAAATCAGCCATAGGTACCTACCCACATAAAAGATTCACAACACTCCATTTCCATAGACAAGGCAAAAATATTACAAACTTCAAACAATTATAACCAATTAAAAATTTTAGAACATTTAGAGATCCACAAAGCCATCAAACAACCCAACCACAACCTCCTCAACGAAATCACTTTCTTTCCAGAACAACACCTATACAAACGCCTACACCCCTTCAATAACAAAGACACGCAACCACACATACACGCCCACTCCCCTACAGACCCCACATAAACAGCACGCCAATGCATAAATCTCTTCTACAACTTGACATAAAATATTTCAGTTCACATAACCTACAATTCGACACTTCAACCCATTCTTTCCTTCTCTAAGCTTCAACCATACATGCTTACATCCACCTTTTAGACATCAACACAGGTAATTTACTCTCAAAATAGTAAACACGCACAACCTAATATCTACAATTACTAATTAATTATATTTCAGTGTTTTCGTTCACCTTTATGATTTCTGCTGATTGTGATCATCCAAGCTACATATTTCTAACATCTCCCACACAATGTTTCATTCACCTGCTTCTTATATTGTATCTTGTACTAATGACGGTAAACTATTTTATTTATAAACAATAACCATAATTATAAGTATTACAGCTACGGCCTGAAGATGGTATTGCTTAACGTACCGAAATCGATAGCCTATACAGAAAAATAAAAACCTATTAGCTCGACTGCACTTCCTGTGTGTTTTTTAACCTTAGAGTAGTTACTTTAAGTAAGACACATCTCTTTTGAGAGATAAGGAATACGCGTGTGGTTCGAAGAATTATGCGATTCATATTGGCGTGAGGACGCGTGTCTTCGAACCTGTCATTATGAAATATAATTGTGATTGGCGGCTGTATTTGAAAAATCATGACGAAGGAGTTTGTTTTATGGTGGAAGTGGTGTTTCGTTAAATACTCGTAGTCCAGTCAACCTATGTTTTTAGTGGGAAAAAATAGTATAAAGCTAATTTTTTCCTCATCGACTGCTACCATTTAGAAAAGTGTTTAGCCAAAAGTCCCCGCCCCTACCCCTCTTACTCCCCCCCCCCCATGTGCTCCCCTAAACATGAAAAGTGTAGGGGTTTCGTAAATCGCGTCTCTCTCGATTACTAAACAACATATCGGATTGCAATTTGTTTTATTTTCTTTACTATAGCATTGTCTACAAATATGTTTCCGTTGACTTTCGTCGTAACTTTTACCGTTTGTTTGTATTTCGCATGAAAAGGAAAAAAGTTGTATATTTTTCGGCACGTAATTTTACTTTTTGTCGCAGAAATTTGCAGGCCGATATTTTATCAAAAAATGTTACCTACAAAAGTTGTAGCTCCCATTATTACCTTTCCAATGATATGAAATAGTACTTACTTTGTTAAAGAGCCTGCGAGATTCAGCCGGTGTAATGCAGAATGCGTACCCAGTCGTGGCGGGTTCCGCAAAGATGGGGCCGGCGGTGCGGCGTTGCAATGCTAATATTGTTGTATAGTGAGAGTGTTTTTTTTTAACTTTAAGGTACCTACACTATTGTATTTTCTCTAAACAAAACCAAACGAGTCTCAGCGAAACCTAAATTCCACCCTTTTTAAATATATGTGTCAAATATTAAGTCCTTGTATAGGTACAGCTAAAAAACGTATTTTAAATACTTTTTTGTTTGAAAATGCATGTAATATTTTGTTTATGTTATTTTAGAAGAAAATAATTGCGGTATCTTAATTTTAAGTAAAAAATATTTTCAGATTATTCACATTAAAAAATAAATTGGTGTTGACCATTTCCGATTTCCTAAACTTCCATGACAAGTTCTTCATTTTCCTCGACTTCAACCAAAGTTACATTGCCGCATGATCCATCCCCAGTCCGTAGCGCTGATTTTCTTATCTCCATTCCATTTTTGAATTTGATAGATGCTCGATAAGCGTGTTGTTCAGCAGCTCCAGATGTTGGAGCGAGGGATGCCATGCTAAATTTGGATTTTAATGACATTTTTTTAACAGCTTTAAGTTACATTGAATATCTACTGTCATTTAGACATGCAGACCTTGTGCACCCATATAGTTTCAAGAAAAAAGCCTCTCCTTCCTCTTTGAGAGTATTTGTGTCTGCCTGTTTTTCATAAACGCGGTCGGCGATTGTAAGCTCCAGGTAACTCGAATGGAGAACGGCGGTCCCAGGTATTCTAAAGGGCAAGCGATGGGGGGCTACTAGTGAATGCTAAAACAAAACTTAAAGCGCACAGAAATCTCCCTAAGCGGAAACAGTACCGAATCGGATTCGGTAGCGGTTTCTACGGGAAATCAATTAACAAAACGGAAAGTGACCAAAAGCTTACCTTGCAATTAACGGAGAGGCAGAAAGCAAGAGATTTAAACGGTTAAACACCAAAGACAAAAATATGCAAAAAGCAAAAGATTTTACGTTTTGGTAAACTCCTAATTAATGGAAAAGGTCTATCAATTAAATCTTATATAAAGTGCGATAATGACATGAGGGAACGAACCGCCACTGCATATTCGATTGTCTACATCTAAAAATTACAGCTCCTTTAATTAATTACGTCCTTTCCGGATGTCTGAAAAATACGGGGCCGGTGTCCAATTTTGAGTTTTTTAAGGGCGCACCTATCGGATGTAATTTCGTCTTAATCTGAGCCTGTTATATGTAACCCATTCAAACTAATCACAGTTAATTATATTTATCCAAATAGTAGGAATGAATCTCCAAATTTGGCAGTTCAGTAATTCCTTTTTGTTTCTTGGAATGGAAGGTCAAGCTCCATAATCACGTTGATATTTTCCTTAAACTGCACTTTAGATAACTAAAATCGATTAATAGATAATTAACGGAACTAAAACTGATATTGATTCTCTATCTTATTCCCTGGTAAGAGAGCTTTCGGCGGCTGTAAAAATAATTTAAATATTCCTACGGGAACGGTTGCAAACGGCAAATTAGAGCGTTTTTAATGGTAACGGTGGCTGAAACACAGCTCTTGAAATTAAATCAATTACTTCTATCTTCAAACTCGTATAATCAACTCAAACGACCTTATATTCTCACCGTGCAGTCACTGAAAACAAGGAACGTTTTAAAATGGCCTGAAAGTGGAAGTCGTTAATTCGTCACGCTAGATAAAATTGTCGTTCTTCAGTCATCGATTGTGACTGTATAAATTGTTATCAGCAAAAAACCGAAAAAACCTTAAAGTGTCGAGATTTTTTTATTTCTAAAGGTTATGCCCACCATCCTGTGGGATGTATTTCAATATAACCGAAGGCTTTAAGACAATTTTCAGCTTTCTGGAAATTGCATCCAGTTGCGGTTCTAATTTTACTGGATTAGAATGACGATTTAAAAACTGTTGATGATCTTTAATAAGGGATGTCCGTTGCAGAAGAAAAAAAACCCCAAGAATAATATGCATTTTTTTACAATAATCGGTCGCCCATCTTACATACCGTAAATCGCAAATTGTAAATTGTCATTCGCCTCCACATTTGTAAGTGGGATATAAGCTCAGTACTTCTCGAAAACTATATATATATACAGAAGACGACCAGGACACCCACTAAGTACGTGCATTCATTTTTGATAGTGACTAAAAACTGCTTACACATTCGTGGCATGATAATGCACAATGATTTTAAATAAGTCTTTGACTGGAATATAACTATGAACTCGAGGCACCTAGATTGTTGGATAAGGAAGCATCCCAACATGATAAATTATTAAAATTTAAATTAGTGATTTTTATCGTAAATATACCTATTTGTTTAAATGACCAGGACCATTTACTGCCCAACAGATAAGATCTGTACGTATACCCTTTGTATACAAATCAAGACGTTGCAGACATTCATAATTATTATTTCACCTTAGTCAAATTTTTTCAGAACACGCCATGCAAGACGGGCATCATTATTTTCAACGTTGTGTGTAGGTAGTTCTACGACCTTAACAATACTCAAGAGTTGACAACGTGCCTGTGATGCAAGATACGAAACCAAGCAGAGGTAGCTGTGACAAAAACAGGAACACATCTTATACGTGAGGTCAAAGGGCTGCAAGTATACATAAAGATGTGTGGACAGAGCAACACTTTTTTTTCGTTCTCTGCAATGTAGATATCATAAAGTGGGTTTCTGTCTGTGTTTGCAGGAAGGACATATTTCATTTAAATTACTCATTACATGCAGTATTACTACAAACTGCAGACCTATAAAAATTAATGCCAGTCTATTACCATATAATAAGTACATCAGCAACTTATTTAATTAATTTAAATGCTAATTAGGTATGCTAAGTTTTTTTTTGTATGTGGATTACGTATTAGCAAAACCGTTACTAAGTAAAGTGTTATTGATTATCGCGTGCCTTGTCAGTTTTCTATTTTAACTCATAATTAAATTCCATTTTGAGGCTAGAATGCACTAAGAGAGAAATATCTGCCTCTGCTTCCATATTAGTTAGGGGTTATACTTACAGCTCTGCAACGTAAGATTAGGAATTAATATCCAGTTAAATTTTCGGCGTTATTTGGCAGTTAATCTAACTTACAAGCGATGGATGCAAAATAGTTCTCTACTGTTCTATTCATGGGCCGTCAGGGCCGTTTAGATAGGCTTTCAGAGTTGAACTATAAAACAACATTTCTCAGGTTTAAAATACAAAATTTTAATTTTGACGAAATCAGTCACGTGATCAAGTTTAGGACATAGAAGTGGGAGTGAGTTACAAATACGTCATAAGAGATAGATTATAAGAGTGTTCTGGGTATCATAAGCATTAGTTCTAGAATGAATTTTCTTACAGCACTGGTGCTATAATGAAAAACACCCTTAACGCTAGACATTTTATTTAAGCTATTCTGGAACCGCTCGAGAAAAATCGGTGTGTGTGACTTTCTCATTGGTTACTCGCTCGCTCACCAAATTTCGTCTTCTTGGCACTAAATTAAAACCGCCCGTTTGGATTTGTCAAAGTGTGATTCAATGCGCTTGGGTTTACCATTTACTGCAATCAATTCAAATTTAAAATTAAATTATGTCTCGCACTTCGGAAGAGCAAAAATTCATGCTACTATCTGCATTAAAAAATAAAAACCTAGTGACAGGGAAAGCATCCAATAATTTTACGAATAGACAGTATACAGGAGAAGTGGAAGGCAGGTACGGCTTTGAATAGCACTGGGGATTGGAAAAATTGCCGTAGTGTCAAGAATATACGCAATTTATTATGAAAATCGCTCGACATACTCACTCACTCACAACGGAAGTCACACGTTCAAGAATAGAACCCTTATTCCCAATATTAAGAAGGAACTTGTTACATATCAGAAATATAAAAAAAAAAACATTTCAATCTCCGCGTAGAAAACCATTTTAGGTTAGATAGTCAATTTTTGAAAAATTCATTTTTTTGAATTTCCAAAAACTAATTCCAAATTCGTCATTTTCATGTTCAAAAACTACCAGATACCAAATTTCGTCGAAATCGGAATTTTTTCGCACCCCCAAGTGCCCTTTCGTGGTAGAAATTTTGAAAAAAATGTTCAAAATCGGATTCGGCATACCCGAAAACCTATCAAAGAACCACCACTTCTTTAGGGGTGGCTCCCAAACGAAACACGTTGGACCCTAGGTTTATTTGGAAAAAGTGCTTGTCTTGATCCTCTCTATCACCCA